TATTAATTTTCGATATCAATGAACTAACGAACTCTTCAAAATTGTGTTATCTTTAAATTTTAGAATCTTATTAATTCCCAAAAAAAAATTGAGTAAGATATTGATTGATCAATAAATAAATTGCTTCATGATTAAATAAATATTTTTTCATATATGCTATTCAATCAAGCATTATTAATTTTCGATATCAATAAACTAACAGACTCTTTGAAATTGTGTTATCTTTAAATTTTAGAATCTTATTAATTCCCAAAAAATTAATGCAAGTACTATTCTTTCCAGCAACATTTATTTACAAATCAATCGATCTAATACTCATAGAATACAAAAATGATTATTCGATTAATAAATACAAATATATGATTTCTTAATTTTTAATATCACATTGTTAAAAATCTTTAATTTATATATGTTGCTTTGATATCACATTGTTAATTTATATACAAGAAACAAGATACACACATTGAATAATAAAGATGTTGCTTCGATGATATTCTCTCTTAATTATTGTTTCTTTACTTTTGTTTGTTGCAGCTGTGCAGCCGCTACCTTCCATTCCCTAATGTAGACGCGAATTTTTTGGGCTATCCAAATCTATATATATTCTTGCATCCTATTTGTATGCCTTTATATATATATATATATATATATATTCATTTTCTCCAAAATATATATGTCGACAAAAATAATGATTTTTTAGAAAATATACATATATCAACAGAAATTTTGTGTGTATCTAATAAATATAAATCAATTGTGCCACTTTGTATTAGCTTCCATTAATACGACCAATTGTTTTTAAAAATATAGGATAATTTCCCTCTATTTCAAAAATGTAACTTCCATAATATTTGTTAACTACTAAATTATTAATTTAAAGCTTTTGCATTTTCGAGACTAAAAAAATATTAAATGTCAAAAAATTACGTAGGTCACTAAAAATCCTATGTATATCTAATACATACTAACGAATAAAAATTCTATATGTATCTAATCAATATATATAAATCGATTATGTTGTTTTGTATTAATGCAGATCAATAAAAATTATATGTGTTTAACCTATATCTAATGTATATAAATTAATAATACTGCTTTGTATTGACATATAATAAGTGTTATTTATATCAAATAATTATAATTTCAAGACTATTTCTTTATTTATAATTTTCTCTCATTCTTTATATTTATCCGCTTATTTATTAACTCGCTTATTTATTAATTTTGTCGAAAGTGTGTATATTGACAAAAATATTAACTATTAAAAAAATACACAAATTGCTAAAAATGCTATGCACATCTAATAGATAAAATAGCGTTCTTTTTATGTTTATTCGCTTATTTATTAATTTTCTCCAAAATATATATTAGCAAAAATATTAAATATGAAAAAAATGCAAATTCTTAAAAATCCTACGTACATCTAATATATGCAAATGAATAAAAATTCTTTGTGTATCCAATTAGTATATATAAATCAATTATACTGTTTCGTATTAAATATAAAAAAAAATATGCAGGTTGCTATATACACAAACATCTTAAATATCAAAAAAATATGCAAGTCACTAAAAATGCTATGTACATCTAATACATACAAATGAATAAAAATTCTATATGTATTTAATCAATATATATAAATCGATTATGGTGTTTTGTATTAATGCAGATCAATGAAAATCATATATGATTAGCATGCATCTAATATATATAATTAATAATACTACTTTGTATTAACATATAATAAGTGTTATTTATGTGAAATAATTAAAATTTCGACACTATTTCTATGTTTATAATTTTCCGTCCTTCTTTATAATTATCCGCTTATTTTTTAACTCACTTATTTATTAACTTTGTCAAAAGTGTGTGTATTGAAAAAAATATTAAATATCATAAAATTACGCAGGTCACTAAAAATCCTTTGTATATCTAATACATACTAACGAATAAAAATTCTATATGTATCTAATCAATATATATAAATCGATTATGCTGTTTTGTATTAATGCAGATTAATGAAAATTATATGTGTTTAACCTATATCTAATATATATAAATTAATAATACTGCCTTGTATTAGCATATAATAAGTGTTATTTATATCAAATAATTATAATTTCAAGACTATTTCTTTATTTATAATTTTCTCTCCTTCTTTATATTTATCCACTTATTTATTAACTCGCTTATTTATTAATTTTGTCGAAAGTGTGTATATTGACAAAAATATTAACTATTAAAAAAAATACACAAATCGCTAAAAATGCTATGCACATCTAATACACAAAATAGCGTTCTTTTTATTTTTTTGCTTATTTATTAATTCTCTCCAAAATATATATTAGCAAAAATATTAAATATGAAAAAAATGCAAATTCCTAAAAATCCTACGTACATCTAATATATGCAAATGAATAAAAATTCTCTGTGTATCCAATCAGTATATATAAATCAATTATGCTGTTTCGTATTAATTCAAATCAATGAAAATCATATGTACTTAACATGTATCTAATGTATATAAATTTAATTAGTTTTCTCCAAAATGTATATATTAGCAAAAATATTAAATATACAAAAAATATGCAAATCACTAAAAATCCTACGTGCATCTAATATATGCAAATGAATACAAATTCTATGTGTATCCAGTCAAATATATAAATTGATTATGCTATTTCTTATTAATACAAATGAATGAAAATCATATGTACTTGACATGTATCTAATATATATAAACTTAAAAATAAATCAATCCAATATTTATTGATTCAAAAAACAATTATTCGATCAATAAATACAAATATATGATTCTAAATTATAATTTCAAATTGTTAAAAATCCTTAATTTGTATATATTATATTTATGAATTTATATTCTTCACTATATTTCTTTTCTTTTAGTTTTTCTAATACTAAACTCTTCCATTATCTAACACACGATTTTGAATTTTTGGTGAGTTTCATACAAATTACATTCCAATCAATATAATTCATACACTACATTGCTACTCTCATTTCATAATGCAACTACATTTTTTCCCCTATTTTTTATCTCAGGTACTCATTGGTGATATACCATCGCATATACAAACAGACAACATAGGAATCATCGATTGCTATCATGCTAAAACTCGATGGATCTTTCAGCTAGAAGGAATAGAAATAACAGAAGGTTGGCCAATATTTACACAAAAACACTTCTTACATGAAGGAAGTGTCATCTTGTTCACCCTACTCAATGAAAACAATTACCATCTGCAGCTCATCAGTAGAGACTTTATCCAACAATCATAATTAAACTTGTCCACTACAGTTTCTTGCACATAGCAATTATCTATTCCCTAAATTTTTTTTATTCTACTTCCACTTATATTTAACAATATAAAAATAAACACATCGAAATTATTCCAAATTATTAATTTATCTCAACTCTTAAAAAATGATTTACATTCCATTAATTTAAATAATATTTACATCCTGTTACTCTTAAAAAATTAAATACAAATCACAACAATATTACTATATCTATTTATAAATATATTAATCCAATATATTGTTCCTCTATTTATTATTCCAACCCTACTATCATATAAAACACTCTAAATATTAATTATTAAATAAATCTTACATTACTCTTAAACAGTCAATAATGGGCACCCAGCGAAACTCACGGGGCACAATGCCTAGTATTATTATTATATATGCAAAGAAAAGGCCGGTTTTGTTGCTGCTAAAGGTGCAAAGTGCAAACGAAGGCCAAATTTTGTCTCGTGATTTGTATACTGTATACTTAATTCCGGATTCTAGGTTTTTAAGCTAGACTGTTTTATATAAAATAAAAAAGTGAAATTCTTCAAATTTCTCAAGATCAGATTGCAAACAGCTTCTTGTGACAGCAGCTTTCTTTGGAACTGACTCATAGCTCTGCTTCTCCAAACATGATGAATTGTTACAGCAAATGCTATACTGATAACCTTACTTTCAAAGGATGGATTTGGGTAGTTCAGGATCATCCACCCACAACTCTCTATATATTTTTCAATCCTGAAAACCAAACACTTGCTCCCAGATGTGGGTAAAATATGAACAATAAAAAAAAGAAAAAAAGAAAAAGATGACTCCTGTGCAGCAGAGTAGAAACAACAGCCTGTGTATCAACCACTAATCCCACAAGCCGCCAAGCCATCTCTGGTATCTAGTCGCCACTCACAGTATAAAGGCATGCCAAGGGACGTGTTTTTTTACCTCGCACAATGTCAAACTGTGGAAGTTTACCCCGTGAAGTAACTAGCTTCTTCACGGCTGATTTGACAGCGAAATTACCTGTTGCAGAAGGCAACCAAACTGCAGCATCAGAAGCATCTCTTAAGAGGCAAGGAAAAAGTAGCAGCAGCCTGGACCAGGTTCAAGGTACCCCCCCCCCCCCAACCTCTTCCTTCTTCAACTTTTATCGTGCCTTAAGTTAAAACGTTGAAAGTGCAAAAAGCTAATAATGAAATATATATATTACCCGAAAGAAGTACATTATACGTAACAAGACGTCAGTGTATATTTCCCAGTCACACGAACTCCAATTTTAATTAGCAAAACAAGCTTGATTTGTGCTTGTTTATTAGTAACATAAACCGGTTTTGCATATTTAATTAAATAATCGTATGAAGCAAGTTCTGCTGATGAAGATTTTTGTTTCTTTACGCTTACGGCTGGTTCAGACTTTATAAAAACGTAATTGGCAAATCTAAATATATTGGAGGAGTCTGAAGTTAAATAAATGCCACATGAATAAGCAATATATATATATATATATATATATAAAGCTATACTAAGTTATAGTAACATAGACTAGAAGAATATGAACTCTGGAGCTACATCTGATTGAAAAGCCACCTAAAAAAACATGGATCTAACTATTCTCAGCCTATGAAGAAATCAAAGTTAAAACCATTCTACTGGTTCCAAAGCATCTGGATAATTACAGACTAGATGCAACAACATCAGGGAGGATGGAAACCAGAATCTAATAATCCCTTGGCCAGCTCTACAAAATTTACCAGTAGAACGTATGTTGAAATTGGCAAACTTAAAGCAAGAATAGCCAGCATCCCTAATGCCATACTTGGTCTCGCGTTCATTAAACACGACTGTAGCACTCCTATTGCTTCAAGAACATCTTCATTGTAATGACTTGCAAAGTATTTCTTTTCCCACCCCATCCAATTTGAAGGTGGTTGATCATGGCCCGACTCTATCGCCTTCATTTTCTTGATTCTCATTCGTAGAACGATCATGTTCTCATCCACGAGCTTGCCTCCATAATGAGCATGGTGGTCATCCTTTCTTGCTTTGACGACAACATTTCTTGTTAAGCCCCCATGAATTGTACAGCTAAAATGGTTTTTCGTCAAAGATGGCCTAGGAGGATGCTTAAGGTAATTAGAAGAGGAGGCCGCTACTGCCATTCTCCGAGTAAATTATCAGAATCTTTATCAGAGAATGTGAGAACTTGGGAAGGATCAAGCGATCAAGTGATATTTATAAAGGTTGAGGAGCTAGAAGAGGTTTCTTCTTCTTAAAGGGAGGTTGTGGAGGTGTAACATGTTTTGCCTTGGACATGAATGATTGCGTCAACATCGCGGCCGTGTGGGACGTCTGACCGTGTAGCCGCCAGTCGCAAGATATTGGCATAAATATGGTACTAGATGGGATAGGCGCCGTGACACGAACAAATTGCTTCGACGTCAATTCTTCAAGGCTTTCCCTGTGCTGCTGTGCTTCTTCTACGACAAGCATTTGGGCAATAATTTGATAGACTGCTACATTACATGCGTAAAATCTACAGTTGATGGCCTTCGTTGAAGTTGCTTCAAAAAGAGCCAAAGATAAGGAAAAAAGCACACGAACACAAGAAAGGACATGCAGTCGAATATGACGAGCGAATCAAGGCTCGCGTGGTGCCAAATTATGAGTTTGCTTTCGAGAACGCTAGTCCCTTTTTGTGTGAATTTCACCTGATTCATTTAATATCATCAGCCCTTCAAGAATAGGAAGGACATTCGAAGGTGTGAAATTTGTCCCATCATAATATCAGGCCTTTGTCTGGGACAAAGGAAAGCCACTATCTGCTCCAATGAGAAATTCACTTCTTCCAGGAGGCATCACTTTGAAGCTGAATCAAGCCTTCAGAAATTCGCAAGCAACAAGGGACACGGACTCTGCGTTGCTACTTAGCTGCTTTAACAGTTTATAAGCTCTCCTGTGTCTTGACTAATAGCAGTAGCATATTAGATGGAAAGATAACCAGTCACGCAAAAACCTTCGATGCAAGGAGAATATAATATCAAATTACTTGTAATCATACTACCATTCAAGCCAAACAACCAAGGCTACTTGCTCGGAATTTGGACTGGAATTGATACAATGCTACGCAGATCTCAAATCATGCAATTGGTGTTTACCAAGCTAATAAGAACATAAAGAATCCCAAGCCTAAACTCTGAATATTACATTACATTACATGCGTGAAACATAAACTTGTGGGCCTTAATTGAGGCGTGCTTCCAAAAGAGCCAAAGTTCCGTGGTGCCATGTTATTCAATTAATCATGAATGATATTTGACTTTCCTTGCAAAGCTAATCGCCCTTATTCAAACAACTTCTACTTAATTTATTGCACAATCATCAACTCCTCAAGAATGAACTATTGGAGAATTTTGTGCCGACATGATATCAGTTTCTTATTTGGGACAAGCAAAGCCATTATCTGCTCCAAGACAAAATTCATGCCTGGCAGCAATGGGCTTTTATTCAAATCTAGATTATGATCATGTTTTTTAAAGTCAAGCCGTACACAAAGTAACTGCTTCAACAATTGATGAGTAGCCTTAGCATCAGCTTACCAGGTGGAAATTATGCAGTCACAAGCAAATATCCAAGAATGCTATTTGCTCAGAATTTGGACTGATAAGTTAAATTATGCTACTTCCAGAAACTGTTGGAAAATATAAGCTAAACCACTGCCCTGCTGAACCAACTTTCAGAGTATGTATTTGATCAGTACCAACCTGATAAGAACCAGCTTGATTGACTGCTGGTTCTCAGCAGCATGGTTAGGGACAATGAACTATGAATTCAAATATTAAATCTTTGGCTTCAAAATGAAATAAAAGATAACTCTCAATCCCTGCAGTTTAAGGTACAATTAATCCTCATTGCTTATCCTGTTTGCTCAAATTCCTTGTTAGTTCTTTTTCTCCTACATCCCCTCAACAATGATTTCTTGGCAGGGGTGATATTCTATATGATGAAAAATTTCTTTCGATCGGGGGTAGGTCAGTGTTGTGAGGTTTTGCAATGGAAGATATGATGCATGCCATGAATAAACATTTCAATCAATAAAGTTGCCTACAGCAGTTCTATTGCAGCCTCATGGTGCTATGGTCTTCAAAGCTTAATCAATGAACTTCTGAGGTAAATATATTAATTTGTTTTCTATAACCAGCCAAGCATTATGTAATTTTCGTAAACAAAAACATTAGTAGACAAGAGCTCATAATAACACACCAGACAACGAAGGATGAATAGAACTCTTCTTCACTACGGTGAAAGGAAATAATTTGTATTTGTTATCTGTACACTGTCCCAGACCAAATAATCATCTAAAAGCTAACAATAGTTTGAGTTACTCCAAGATGCATACCATCAAAAGATCAAGGCTTTAATCATCATATGAAGCATGTGGTGCAGCAGTACAACCGGGGTCAAAGGGGTCTTCAGAACCACAGCAATGCCAGTATTGAAAGACCATCCCAGAGTCTGGGGTGTCCATAGTTCCCCCAGTATATACACTCTCAAACTTCCTCTTTGTTTCTCCTGCATAAAAGCAATAATAAGACTGGTTCTATTCGGCAAATAGCCATTGACAAGGATCCAGCAAAGACACTCTGCTGAACGAATATCATGACTAAGCAGAAGCAGAAAAAAAAAAGAGCCTTTTTTGGGGGATTGTTCAGCTCAGCATATTAAACTTTGCTTTGGGGATATGTATCAGTAAACATAAGGTCAAGGCTCCCCAAGTATTGATATCAGACTGTGGAGAACCTAATGGCATTGCGTCATTGCAACACATTCTTTAACATCTTAGAAAACCGGATTGTCATTACTAGCATTAACCAAGTTGCTATCAACCTTATCAAACAAGATGACTTGTCACACAGAGAAAAGAGCAGCCTCAGCTAAGCAGAACACAACAATGGAGATTGTCACATTCCAACACCAGTGCATGTAAGTAAACTTTAAGAGGGGAAAAGTAAAAAAAAAAAAAAAGAAGAATAATACTAAATTTGAAAATGAGTATGGAAGCCGTACCTCCGAAATGAGCAGTGTGAAAACGGCAAGCACGGGGGTGATTGAGTAAAGGGTCGAATTGGGTCTTGCAATTTTTGCAGGTTCTAAGTACATTCTGGGATTGCTTTTCTGAGCATTGGATAGAGTATTTTCCGGGCAATGGCTTCTCTGAAGTAAAATCTCGGTCTGACCTCAGGAAAACAAGAGTCTGATGGATATTTCTTTGGCTTCCACGAAGAAGAGAAAAGCATGTTGGTAAACTGTAACAGGATCCTCCTCCTATTTGGGTTCTCATTTCGTTTGCTCAATTTCGAAAGAAGAGCAGTGGACTGTTAGCTTTAAGGTAATTAGGGATCCAAGGAATTGGGACAGTCGACAGATTATTCTTTGACTCAGTTCACAAACATCCAAGAGGCCAACACTTAACAGTTTATGACCACTTGGGAAGAGTATCATTTATTTTATTTTATTTATTTATTTGAACTCCAAAATTTTGCATAGGGATAAAAGACAGAATGCCCCCACGTGAATGGGCTGGTGGTTGGCGTCTCTTCTTCGGGATCGTCAGGTCCTGGGGTCGAACCTCCGCAGCAACATCGGCTTCTTTGTGCTGTTAACGTGCTAGGCCTAAATTGGGGCGCTGGGCCGGGTTGAAGTGGGATTAGTCGAGCCGTCTTTACGGACTTGACCCGGACACCCACTCTGTCGAGTATATATATATACTCGAATTGAGCGAGCTTATGTAAATTTTGGTTCATGAACTTACTATATCAAATCTGAACAGAGGTTCACCCTTTTAATCCAGACTCTTTATTTACTATATCTTTATGAATTAATAAGTAGCTTGTTGAAATAATAATGAAACCAAATTCGACAATAACTTTAACCATGCTTACAACACTTCATGGTTTCGCTTAAGGCTCAGCATCTAGTCAAAAAAAGAAAAAGAAAAAATGGTGAAATCAACATTATGCCCTTTTAAAATTTTATCGTGGTTACTATTAATGCATACAATTAGGCTAGCACAATTTTGATTTACTTTTCAGTTAGTATTAATCTAGCTCTCGAAAACAAATTGGTTAGCATGATTTGAGTGCTCCATTGAGCTCAAAAATTAAGTGAAGCTGGACTCAATTAGATCAATACTCGATTCGCTGCTTTTGGATTCGCAGAAGTTTGGGCTTCTTGAGCATCCACCCCACGGCTAAAGATTTAAAGACGCAGTCTTGTTAAAATAGAACCTAAAACGACAGATCATTTTGTTCTCGCCGGCGCATGGTCCGGAGACACCAAATCGAGCCTCCAACGCTTCATGGACCATGGACCCAGGAAGAAACCCAGAGTCTATCATCATCTTCTTCTTCTCCCCAATCATACTTCAGTTCTCAAAAATTGCAGAGCCCCCGAATTTTTGTTATGAGCCTCTCTATTAATCAACTTTTCATCATTAGCATATCATTTCTTTGATAAAAAAAAAAAAGATGGCAAACATCAATAAAAACGAGCCCAGCACGGCCCCACTGCCCGATCGATGGTACAATTTAACCCTAGGCTCCTCATTCAAAGACCACCAGCCTTCTTCCAAGTTCTGCACTTTACGATGTAATCCCACCATTTAAATCTATATTTCTAATTAGCCACGAAAGGTATTTCTGGGTTCTAATTTTTTTTTTTTCATGTGGCAGATGAATTTAAACCCGCATCAATTGATAAGAATCAACCGGGAACATTGCATAAGAACAAGGACAATAGAATTACGGTAGAATTTCAAAACAATCAAGCAGGGAAGCCCAAGGTCACGTTTGAGGGCAGCAGTGAGGATTACAAGGAGAACGACGCCGTTTTGTTCTTCGACGGTGAGTCTTTTCGGCTTGAGCGTCTCCACCGGGCGGTCAAGCGGCTGAGGCATGTAAGGCTGCCTGGGGAATCTGCGTCTGCTGCTCTGGCGGCGGCAGCGGCTGCTGGTAGTTCGTCGGCTTCAGGTGGACCTGCTGTTGAGGCTGGCTCGCCGCCTGTTGCAAAGGGGAATAAATTGCCTTTCAACAAAACCACAATTCCGGCTGTCCCGGTGAGTCTATTTATTTTGATAGCGGATACTGAGATTAGAATCGGACGAAAGATGATTTCTTTGAGCTCGACGTTTACTTTTCTTTGGATAGTATCAAACTTGAATTTTGATGAGGAGGCTAAATTGATTATTGTTTATTTCTTCTTTCTGGTAGTGGTAAGGACAGCTGAGTCTTGTTGTCCTATTTTTCTCTATTAGTTTGTCTATCTTCAATTTGTCTGGAAAAATAACTATTCAACTCAGCAGTGATCATAGTTTACCGGGTGAATAATTTTGTTTTTTTTTTTATTGCACCTATCTTTTCTTTTGTTTATGAGCTCATCTGGAATTAGACAATGGGAATGAGAATAATAAGTCTTGAACTCTACCTGGGAGCAGACTTTTGCTTGTACTTCTCGCTTTGGGCGTTTGATTAAGTTGATTTTGTGGAGAATGTGTCAATATAAGGATGTTCTTCTTGCCATATAAAACTTTATTTATGGAATGAACCTTCTTGTCATTGCAACTGAATATCTCACTCTCTTTCAGATTCTCAACCAGTATGTGCCTTTTTGAAATGCTTTCCTCTACATTTTGCACCGGAAACTATATGTGCTTGTCTCTGGTAAAAGTAAACATGTGCAGAATTTGAATAGGAGGATAAACAAGCTTACTGACTGTGCTGATTGGAAATGCTTTTAAACACCAGTTAACTAATGCTAATACCGTATAATCACTCATGTCTTGGCAAGAGAGTATATCAGTTTGCTTTGGTCTGCTTTCATCTTGCTATGAGAGTCACATGTGACCTCTGAATGGTTGCCTGTAATAAAGCTGATTCAACAATTTTTATGCAACACCTTCTCCATACACAAACTTTCTGGGATGGAAGGAGACGGTCAGTGGAATGTGCTCTTAGTTTTGCTCGAATACTGCTTCATAAAGCTAATGCTGTTGTTTCGCATGCTTGTACAGGTTGAGGTGGAAAGGATTGAAATTGGAGGGTTCAAAAGCTCAGGTATATGTTTTCATATTACACCCTTACTAGCTTTGATTCTGAGTAACCAAGGTGTTGAGCGTGAATGAGAATGAGTGCATGCAAAATTATCAGAGCAAGTTTAAAGTGCCTGTGTGAAACTCTAGTGAGTTTATAGTATGTGTTCGATACAGGAGTGTCTAACTTGGGATATGGCCTAAGGATGGTGGAAAGGGATGTGACTTTTTTTGCTGTAATATGCTTGTCTATGATGTTGCTTTTCAGCATGTGAGAGGTGGTTGTCTGTATTGAGAATTAGCTTCCCGACAGTTTAGCTGCCTAGATCATATGTATCTAACAGATATTGTGTTCAATGTTCATTTACTAGTTCAGGTCCATTATCTCTATCCACTGAGATCATTGATGAATCATTCTTAGGATTCAGAATGATCTTTATCTTTGGCTTTTAAGATCTGCCAACTCACCATGTACATGTGGTCAAATTGTCCTGCAAATTTTGACGATGTTCCAGCAATAGAGAGATCTAGATCTTTTCTTTCTTATTGGCACCTTAATCTCAAGGTCTATATATTTTTTTAATGAAAGTTTTAGCAACCATGCATATACTGTAATTTTTGCTCCATAAGACTAAGGAGGGTAAGAGGGTAAAAAGTGGAAAAAAATGGAAAGGGAGGGGAAGAGGAAAAGGCTAGTCAAAACAAAATCAATTTTGGAGTATATGAACTCATCTAATGAACTTGATCCCAAATTGCACCTTACAAAAGACCTGAGATAATTGTATTAAAACTGATATGCATCCTTTTCTTGTTGCATCGTCTTCATAAATGGCTGAGCCAGTAAAAAGCCCTGGTTTTAGATAATAAAGGCTTCAAGTCACAAAGCACTTGAATAATTGTTGAACTATGTGAGAATGCTGCATATCGTATTGAAACTTAGGTTATACTACTTTTAGAGTGCTTTTGTCACCTTGTACCACTGGATCAGTAAAATTGCCCCCTCCGATCCTTTTTTTTTTTTCCCCTTTTTGTCAATGCCCCCTCTGATCTGGAAGCAGATGGATGTTTGTTTTTATAGTAATAATCTAGCTGTTGAGCCAATCATTCTTGTGGTGCTTGTGAAGAACATAAGTTGAAAGATGTATATTGTTTTATTAGCAAATTTAGCTTTAATGGTTTTGCAGACCATGTTTGTTTGAGCCCCATGCTTCTACTAGAATCCTTGGTAGTTGCAGCTTATTTTGTGATCAATGCTAGTGAGTCATGTGATAAATCCATCTGTTAATCAGACCCTTGTATTTTTGTTTTAGCCACTTAAAATTTATTCATATTGCTGGTAGAACATGCCAGGCTATGTTGTTTGTAGTATGGTGTAAGTTATTTTCTTATTTTGAGTCTGTGCAATTTTTCTTTTTGGTTGTAATCTGCTTATGTTGTAGTCACTAATTAATTTCTCCCTAGGGGTAGATGCAAAACCCAGGAATGAGAAAGTTGATGACCATCCTCCTGTTCAAGAAAATGAATCAAATGCATCACCTGACAAGATGGATGATCTGGTGGAACAATTGGATATATTGAATGACGATGATGATGATGTAGCAAATGGAGGAAATAATGACGTGAAAGAGTGTCATACAGGAATCGATATTAATATACCGCATCAAAATGATACAGATGATGAGATAGCTGATGTGGATGCTAGTGATGATGAAGCTGATAAGGGACGTAATGCTGCAGAAGCCCTTCGAGCACAGGTGAATGCAGAGGAAAGGGAGGAGCAAACTTCAAGCTCTAGCGGTAGTAGTGGGAGCGAGAGCAGTAGAAGCGGAAGTGGGAGTGGAAGTGGCAGTGGGAGTGGGAGCAGCAGTAGTGATAGTGAAAGCAGTGACGATGACTCAGTTAACTCTATTTGATGATTGAAAGTTGGCTATTGATAATGAACGCTAGTCGCTGCAATCGTAGGAACCGCTGCAGACATTAGAAAGGTTGCTTGTTGGGTAGATGTTCTGTAAAACTGTATGACGGGTACTATGCTGAACGGCATCTTCAGAGTTTCGAGAGGAGGCATCTTAACCACTAGGATTTGGGGTGGTAAAATTTTGTCTCATATTTTTAATTTCGTTAATTATTTTCAGTGTGCTGAGCTTGATCCAAATTATGTGCTGTCAGACGCGCCACGGTCGGTGCTCTGTCAAAAGCAGTGGAGGAGAATGTGATTATTATATGTAATCCCAATGGTTTTAGAACTCAATGGGGTGTATGGATGTGACTTTATATTTGTGCCTTTGGTTCATGTATAGCTACGATCAATTAAGTTCCACAAAGGATGGATACATCCCCAGTCTGACGAGTCATGTTCATTTTTCAGCGTAAGCATCATATATCCATACATTTATGGGGTAAAAACCAAATGTCTCGTAGCAGTGCCCTACCCAATGTGTTCAACAAATTTGCTTTAAAAAAGAAACACACACACACACACACACACACACACACACACAAAGAGAGAAGATGCGTTCGGACAAATTCATCACTGCCCTACCCCGGCCATCTTGGTGCACCCAGAAAATGTTATTACATCTCCAGTTATCAATGAAACGGGCAGAATTTGAAATTGTACAAGACAAGAAGAATCAAAACCAAAATTCTACTTATAAAGCCCTTAAAAGCAGAATCTTGATTTGGATGAGCAACTTTAAATCTTATATGGTGTCTTCCATAACACATCTGGAAGTAAGATAGTTACAGTTGTAGCCTCCTGAGTAAGATTTGCAATTTGTACAACTTCTATTTCCCAAAGTGCAAATTCGTGCGCAGGCATCCATCAATGGCCAAAACTCCGTACTTCGGATTACACACGAGATGCACCGGCATGCCTCATGACTGAGTTGGTGGCGCTTCTTCTTTCTGTTCTGTGCCTCGGCCCTCCTCATTTTCACCACCAACATATCCATTCCGGAAAATTTTCTCTTCTGAGGGCAAATTCTTCCTGGCTTTCCTACTACCTTCAATTTTCCATAAATCCCACACCCGGGTTTTGGGTGGAGGTGTGGCATCTATAAGTGGTGCAACTAATCCTGGCTTGCCATCATCAATCACTGCATCAACTAAACCATACTCCTTTGCCTCCCAAGGATTCATGAAGTAATCCCGGTCAGTATCCACTTCAATCTGGAAGAAACATTTACAATAAAATAATTCATTAATTCTAGTAGCTTTATTAGAGCCTATTTCTAGGTAGCGAATGAATCAATGCAACATTATGTTGGATATCCAACCTGCTCCTCAGGCTTTCCAGTGACTCTTGATAGTATTTTGTTCAATTTGATTTTGTGGTACGCCATTTCTCGTATCCTTATGCTCATCTCTGTTGCCTGAATAAATATCATGTGTACATGACAAATCAGTGACAATAATGTAGTTGGTCTTAATTCCTTTCGTGCTAGCAAGCCATAATTTTCAATGACATGACTAAAATGTTACTTTCAAAAGTGAAATATTCAATAAATGCCATGAAGAAACCCTCCTGACCATTTCCCCAATATGCTAAATAGTCAACTGCTATCAATTCTAAAACTTATATTCCCCACCCTTAGCCAACCCACGCAACTCCCCACAGTTTCATCCTCCTGCATATCAAATGAAAATCACAATCTTCATGCACAATAAAGTGTAATCCTGCGGATCTTTTCTTTTACCCTATAAAATAGCACACTTTAGTGGTAAAGAAGCGCAAATGATTAAATAAGTAGATGCTGTGGGGGAACATCAAGCCAATAAATACAGATCATACTAAGTATTATGGATTAAGGCTTTAATTGATTTCTACTAGCAATTTGTGAGACACGAGTAGGAAAATACAAAGTCACATAGAAGTGAATGAGAAATAAGCGCTACATATCGTGAAAAGAAGGAAAAAGAACAAGAGTTTATGCACCCTGTTAGGCTATTAAAACTGAACGAATGTGTTTGACGTTCTATTCACTCATATATCCCGACTTTCAACAAAAGTTTACTATATGTACAAGAGTAAGCTTCATATTGTGGATATATTAGGGATGGAGACATTGAAAAGACATTACTAGCAACAGCAACAAGTTGAGAGCACTTACTTTGCCTCCCGCAGTTCCAAGAGGCTGGTGGATCATCACCCTTGCATTTGGCATGCAGAATCTCTTCCCTTTACTACCACATGCAAGGAGAAATGCACCCATGGAAGCAGCAAGTCCCATGCAGATTGTAGAAACATCAGCCTTGCACAATTTCATAGCATCATATATTCCCATACCTACATACAATGGTTATCACTGTCACAAGAACTAGCCCTGTTTATAGAGAAGAGGAGAGAAAATCCACTCACTGAAAGGTATGCGTTTTGCTTAGAATCTACACAATTGCCAGCCACATTAGACCACATGTAATCTCATAGTGCACATCACTTTGGATCGACCTCCAAGAGGAGATGATTACTCAGCAATTTTTACAGGGACGTGGGCAAAATTTAAATTCATTTTCTAGCCATCATGTGGCCCATATATAACTTGTAAGAACACATTACACTTCTGATATTTAGAAAATTATGGAGCCAACTGTTTACCACATGCCAGATGATTCGTGTGACTCTAAATGCAGGCATCTTTCTTTATCCTAGGAACATATATTCAGTAAGATGTTCCTCTATGACCCAGGCCCTGTATGCTTATTTGTCAAACAACTGAACCACAATGATCATCAAGAAAGTTATTGGGGTGATGTACAACAGAAGCAGTAATATTGAAGATTAAAAAACATTTGAAAGGAAAAGATTCAAATTTCAAGTGTATGACCAGAGAATATATGCGCCAATACAATAACTGCTAGCATTTTAGAGTATTGAGCAGAAACTCAATAGTTCTGCTAAGTTAAATTCATAAACTTCTGATCGAATGAGAAGAAAACAGCTTCCAAACTGCCTATATCCAGGCAAATTATACCTGAATGTATTTACCAAAGAAACGAATCCTGTGCTTTGTAGCTTAAATTGAAAACAAGGGTAAAGATGGTACCATAGCGTCAGTTGCAACAACATACAATAACGGCAACAGTAATGCACTTTGCAGATGGTGGTTCAGATGTTATTGCTACAGAAGGAAGTTTCTATTCATGAAAATTTTGCTAATTTTCTGAAATCAATTCTCCTGTAAGAAAAGGAAACCAGTTGATTCCAAGATTGAGAACTGTTGTTCCATAGAGTGACCATTATAGTTTCCTATCCACATTTATTAAGTTGCTTTAGATTATTACAAAAATAGGCTTATTATCGAGCACAGTCTGATCATCGCATATACACATTACCATCTATTATATATGGATACTAAAGACAGTTGTGCAACACGAGTACAAATGTAAACGGTTGGGAATAAAGAATAAGCATAGACTTACCAGCAGTAACAGAGCCCCCAGGCGAATTGATGAACAATTTAATGTCCTTTTTATTGTCTTCAGCATCAAGAAACAATAGCTGGCTAATGACAAAATCTGCAGTAGCATCGTCAATCTGGAAATGGAAAAAAATTAGGACTAAAACTAATCAAACTCCAGTATGAACTATATCCTCACGCCCCAAAGGACCATGTACTCAAACTGTACTTCAAGTCAAGCAACATTATTTGATTATAAACCAAATCTCTTACTTCTCGACCCAAAATAATGCCATGAAAGTTTTAAAAATTCAATCTTTGGCAAGAACTTAGGAACAATTGCAACTTAAGCTCACATAAATGCAAATTAGTCCATGAATCCCAAAAAACCATAAAAACACCGAAAGTTGTTGATACCCGACCCCATGTCGAAAGGCCAAATGCTGACAAAAAAGAAATTGAGTCAAAGACTGAAACCTGAGAACCCAAGAAAATAATCCTCTGGCGAAGAAGCATATTGGTGGTATCGAGTTCTTCAAATCTGGGCAGCAAAGAAGGTGCAGCAGAGTAATTGGAGATATCCCAGTTGCTGGATAAATTATTTCCGGAGCTAGCAGCAGAAAAGGCCTGCTTTGATGCTCTAACAGAAAACCCATTTCTTATTCTTCTACTACTTACGCTCTTGGAACTAATATTCTGCTTTATTGTGCTTACAGTTGTCGATGGAGAAGGGACTAATTGATGGAATTGTTTTGAAAAAGAATTGTTTGGATGGGGGAAAGTTGTTGGCATTGAATGTGCCGGGGCTGTTGTGAAGCCAAGACAACCCCTTTCCATCCTTTCACAATACCCTTGCTTGCTTGCTTGGCCTGCTGCTTTTGTTCTCAAAACTCAAAACCAAAGATGATTGGGGAGGTAATTTTAGCCGAGGTCCTCAGGTTCAGCTCCAACACGATATCGTTTCTCTCGCTTGAGCAGATTAACAAAAGTTGTCCCTGGCATTATGTAAAATTATGTATGAGTTACCTGCATTTACAGTTAAACCCAACAAACCCTAAAGTAGACAGTGCCATGCTTGTGAGAAAAAAAAATTCTCCTGCTTAGACAGCCTATGATTTATAGTAACGTTGATTTTTATTTCTTCTGTAGATATTTATATAAGATTTGACAAGTTCTAATACACAGTTATATACCTAAAAAAAAATAATAAGAATTAAACTCCTAGTTGTAATAGTGGAACGAATCATATTGGCCCTCATGTCATATGTCTATCCACACACTAAGTTTATGGTTACCATTTAATTATCTTAAAACGAGAGACGAGTCATATGAAAATACAAAAGATATGATGCATGATACATAATTTAATATAATAATTATATAAATTCATCATAGCACTTGGTCCTAAAGCAACATGTACTTGTGTTGCACTGCTATAATTTAATATGACGGGAATTTGTTTGTTTGAATAAATTATATATCTGAACTTTGTATGATTTCTTTTGTTTAAGTATTATATTTCATTTGTAAGGTAACGAGATATAAATTAGGGGTTAAACATAAATAAATATCAAATTGATATCAAATTGGCTTGACATAAACCTATTTTCACTTGTGATGTAAACTTGTAATAACCAGATAAATTACAAGTTGGCTAAATCAATCTCGAATCTTGAAATGTTTTTGGGCACAAATGGGTACTTGTATGTTGGATGCTTGACCATGTAAAAAATGAAGTGTCAAGGGACCAAAATCGAAATTCCCTCAAAAAGCCAATGCAAAAACAGAACGATAATTTCAATTTCACGCTCATCCCCTCAGGCAGTGACCGGCGAGACAGAAGATTGGTAAGGTTAAAGAAAGGGAAGATGGCGAGATTCTCTCTGGGAGATGAAGCGGATGAACGAGAAAGGTCCGATCCCAGCAGCAGCAGCTCCAGACCCACCCCTAAGAGGCAAAAACTCACAGTCTCGCCGCAACCCCAACCATCCCAGCCAGCGGTGGATGCACCTATACAAACAAATGATTTAGTTCAAGTAGTGGAAGGGGACGCAGAGGAAGAGGAAGAAGAAGAGTCTGAATATGAAATTGAAGCCGAGGAAGAAGGATCTGAGTACGAAGACCAAGAAGAAGAAGACGATGACGAAGACGACGACGATGATCAGGAGGAAGACGACCGGATTCTGCAGCCGCAGCCTGAGGTAAACGGGGACGGCAATAGAGATGGGCCCATTTCCGTTACCCTTACTGACCCGGATGTATTGGATTGCCCTATCTGCATTGAGCCCCTCAGCATCCCTGTTTTTCAGGTAATTTTCCATTTTTTCCCTGATTCAAAAATTGAATTACTTCGAATTATCAGGCATGCTTAGTATCGTTGTTGCTGATGCATTTTGATCAAAGCCCAATTAAGGCTAGCTAAGATAATGGATCAACTTTGAGGTACCAGTAGTTGCGAAAGTGTGCTGCTGTTGATGTATTACAATTTAAATGTATTTGAAGTTGACATTACGAGTGGATAGGAGAACTTTAACTCTTGGCGTACTTAGTGGTTGGAGTTGGAATAGCAATTTCGAGCTGAATGTGTTCATTGTGTCACTTCTGTTCTATTGGTCCTTGGGCTTTGTATAGAATTGTAGGCTCTGTATGTTATCTGGAGGGTGGTTTCGGGTCGAACTCATTGGAATGGTGTTGATTGAATGCCATGGGTAACGACTACAATTGTAATAAAGTTTTTAGTTTGGACCAAAAAAAGTCATAACTTGTATATGAGTATATCCTCTCCTTGTTTCTTTGTGAATCTAGTTTTGCATAGAGAGGCTGTTGCTTGCAGAAAACTCAGGAAGAAACAAAAGAAACTCAAAATCCCACTTCCAATCTTTTACTAGGTTCTGTATCAAGTTTGCTTCCTGGATGTATGTATTATGGACACTGAATATGTAAGAATTCTTTGATGATTTTTCTACTTGGCCAGGATAGTGGCCAATGATCTTCTGAGTTTCCCTATTTGCCATAACAATTGAATGCATAAAAGGTCATGTACTTTGTTTCATGTTCACATTCTTGTGGACGTTGAGTTTCTTACCTTGACAGCATTCGAAATGGAATTAAATTTGTGGGTGGCAGTGGATATTTTCTGTTGGTGATCTTGAGGTGTTTTGATTCTGTTGCTTTAGTTATGTCCCTGGTGCAATGGTCACCGTAATATTGTCTACAGTGTATAATTTAGATGTTTTTGGCTATTGTGATGCTAGCTGGTAGCACTATGTTAGTCATGGTAAAAATTGGTTGAAGTGCTTCAATTATTATGGCCAGTTGGACAGAATTGTCGCATCTGCTTATGATTAAGTCCCAATCAGGTGGGATTGCTGTTTATAATGTTTAGTGGCTGTTGCAGTGGAGGTCTATGTGGGGGCAAAGATGATATTGGTGGTCAAAATGTTGACTTGCGTGCTTTAGGTAGTTTTGTTGTTTGTTGATTTAGTTTATCAACTCAGCACCCTGTTTGGAAGGTGAGTTTTTTGGGAATTTATCTAAAACTTGACTGTAATTTACTGTAAAAATTTTTTGAAATGTGTAGATTTTTAAATATTTTGAAGTGTACAGTTTAAAATCTTTAAGAATTTTTTTGAGGTTACTGTAGTTAAAGTTTTTAAAAAACTTGTAGCAGATAAACTTGGCAAAAAACTTAGGTTCCAAAAAACTTAGTTATATTTTGTCGTATTGTGGACAAGGAGTGAGAATTCAATCATTTGTCTGTATTTGTTACTTTAGATTGTAAAAGGAGTGTGGACGTGGTCTCTAGATTGTGGGTTTATGTTCTTAGGTTCCCTAGATCTTCTTCCTACTTTGTATTCCCTTCCCAAGTGGATGAATTGCAACTGCTATATTGCTTTGTCAATGACTACATCATGTGCGCCAGCCTGCAAGGAAATATTTCAGCTTCATGTGATTGGTTTAGCTTCTGTCTGTTTGCATCATTATTTGAATTTTCTTTATGATTTACTAAAAATACGTCAAAAACCTTTTGCCAGCTAGCTGATAAAATTCATTTCTCCCGATTCCTCTTGAGAAAAGCATTTACAAATGCATTGATTGGGTTTGTTTTGACATTTGTAGTGACTAGTAGAACTTCATTATGGATCTTTTGGGTAATAATTTTTGTTCTCGTGGACTCGTAATGCCTGCAAATTATCTTTCAATTAAAAATGTTTGCATGCGTCAAGTCTCATTCTTAAGCTGCAATATGGGATGCATTCTTTTTTCATATAGTAAGATAACATCTAAGGTTGTCAGTATGGTTAATTGTTGTTGTGTATTTACCCAAGGTCCTTCGAGAAACTTCTACTCACATTTTGTATTACAAACAAAAAGAATTATGCATAAAGTAGTCTTACTACCTGGCTGAAGCTGCAGATTTAATCTCTGTGTAATTGTGTAATGATTATGCATCTCACTCGTCATTCTTGTCATGTCCTGCAGCCCCAGTTTTTATGTATATAGTCTACATATATGCAAATTATTAAATTGTTAGCAGGCATGTACAAGGACAAGGACTCTAATGCGTTTTATTTTTCTGGACTACAATTCAGTGCGAGAATGGGCATATAGCATGCAGCTCTTGCTGCTTAAAGATTCGTAACAAGTGTCCATCCTGCTCTTGGCCAATCGGGTACAACCGATGCCGAGCCATTGAGAAAGTGCTTGAATCGGTGAAAGTGTCATGCAGAAACATTAAGTATGGGTGCACGCAGATGGTGAGATACTGTAATAAGCATGAACATGAGAATACATGCATTCTTGCACCTTGTTCATGTCCTCTTCTTGACTGCAACTTTGTTGGCTCTGCCTGGCAATTATATTCACATTTTAAGCTAAGACATCCAGCTTCTGGCAACACTTTCCTTTTGGGCAAGCCCTTCTCTATTTCTTTGGAGAAAAGCCAAAGGTCTATAATTCTTCGAGAGGGTGATGGAAATATTATCTTTATCCTGAATCACTTCAACGAACGACATGGAAGTGCAATAAATATTGTTGGTATTGCACCGTTAGGATCAGGTACTCGGTTTTCTTATGATCTTACTGTAAGAGACGGGGATACATCTATTAGACTGCAATCTTCCGTAGAAAGCATCCGAAAGTGGGTTGATAGCGCTCCTGCAAAGAAGTTTCTTCTGGTTCCATGCTATTATTATACCAGTAATTGTGGACAGCTTGAGTTGGACGTATGCATACGGGCCGAACAATCTTGTTCTCGCTCAAGTGGTAATAACATGAAGTTCTTGTTTACCAGGGCTGATTGACTTCACTTTGTTAAAACTTTTTAGTTTAGGAAAAGAAAAGAAATTCCATTGTGACGCTGTGCTATATTTAACACACTGTGTGTAGTTTTTGTGCATTGGAGTGGTAGGCAGGCTGTTTATCCTTTTCATATTTTTTTTTTATGAGCATTTCCATTCATTTTCATCGTTGACCTATCCTCCAAAGTCCAAACGGTTGGATAATATTTCATCGTTGACCTTTTCATATATTCACCGTTGGACAATATTTTACTCTCTGCAAGAAAAAGCAAAATATACCTTTGGACCATCAACCCGGTAATTCTGCTTCCCGGGCGGTAAATAAATGAGCCAATGTACTCGGCAATATGGAAATTACACCTTCCCTTTATTTTATTTGTGACCGTCTAGGTGGTATCCCCTGTTACTGTCCCAGGATGAGATGCTTTGCATGGGAGCTTCAAAATTTGGATGATCAACTTTTTATAGACAGGATGGCGCAAGCAAGCCAATTTTGCATTGCAGCCACCTCTAATAATGCTGCTGGTGTATAACATTCTTGTATATAACCAAAGGCTGGTGGCCACCACCTAGCTTGGTGGGGTGGGTGGTAAGGGTTCAAACTTTGCCTTTCACCAAAATGTTACATTTAAGTGATTTGATTCAAAAAATCCCGT